ATGTTGACAGACCAGTGTGACAAAATACCAAAATGGAGAAAGGATTGATGGTAGTCAGGTGCCTTGAATGAAAGATCTTTCTAGGTGATTTAATAGGAGATAAAGACTATATGTCAGAGAGAGGCAATGTGTTCTTCTCTTAGTATATTAGTTCTTTATCTGTACTTGTGCCTTAAGGCCATTTATACATTAATTTGTTCAACAGTTACTTACTAAGTATCTACTAAGTGTCAGTAGAACTATTCTACTGGCACTTAGTTCTACTAAGTTTTGTTCTTAGTCCTACTAAGTTTTGTTCTACTGCGGTGAACAAAAAAGGACAAAATTTACTGCCATCGCGGAGCTCATTTTTCAGCACACATGCAATGTGTGATGCTAAGAGCTATGCAGAAAAACAGAACTGAGAAAAGGTATGGGGATACCTGGGTGATGGGTGGATGTGTGCCCTCACCTTAGTCAGACTGTGTGGGAAACACAACATAGGTACAGGATTATTTTTTCCGAAACCTTTGTGTTGAACACACGGAGTTCCTCTTATTCTTCCTTTCTTTCTATCTTATCATCTCCTCCAATACCCTGGCTTTCATTGTTTATTTTATGTCACTTATCCTTGAATTAGTATATTTAATACCTTGACATCTCTGTTTAAGAGATTTTTAGCTTCAGATCTAACAGCCCAACACTGGTTGTTCTATAGGCATCAGAAATTCAGCACTTCCCCAATCAATGTATCTTCCCTCCAAAGTCTCTTCCTTCTTTTTTGTTTTCCCTTGCTGTACTGATATTACCATAAATTCAATCATTCAGGTCAGGAACTTTAGGGTCATTCTTGATTCCTCCTAAATCTGTCCCTCTAATTGGACATCAAGCCGTCTTGAATTTTCATCCAAAAACTTCTCTTCAATCTCTCCCTCTTATTAATTTTTTTTTCAATTATTCTATCACTGTTAGTTGAATGCCTACTGTTTTCCCAATACTAAGCCAGGTGCTAATACAAAAATAGATCAGACAGTAAAGTGTAGAGGCTACAATAGAAATAGATAAATTTTCATAGCGAAGTGTTATAGGCACAGGGAAGATCCACCAACTGTTTGTGTTTGTGCAAGTCAGTGGTAGTTGAGCTGGGTCTTGAGGAAGGAGTACCTGTGAGGCAGGAAAGAGAGGAGGTAGAGACATAGAATTTTCCAATCCATTCAGAGTTTAGAGAATGGTGAGAAAGTCCCAGTCGTTCTAAGAAATGTGTACAGAGTAGATTGTCAGAGTATGAATTCAAGGATGACTTTAAGTTCCCTGGTTGACAAGGACTTCCTTAACAGAGGTGAAGAAGAGCTAAAGAAACAAATTTTTGATGAGCTGAGTTTGACATACTCATAAGTGAGCCAGGGGGATTTACCCAGAAGACAGCTAGAAATAGAAACAAGTTGAGAAGAAAGGTCAGTGTTGGGGCTGCCTCACCAGCACAATGATGGTTGAAACCATGGGAATGGCCAACAAAACTTAGAGAGCAAGAACCAGTGGAGATGAAAGACAACCAGTTCCCTGCCTTTACACCCCCCACTGCTCTAGTCCCCTGGTCTCCTCACTCTTAGCCTCTACTCCCAGTCTTCTTCTAAATCCCACCACAGAAAGTTACCTGAAGCACCGCTCTGAACGGGTTAGTCTCCACTCAGAGGCCTTCAAGATAAAGTGCAATCTCCATAGCTTTGCATTTAAAGCTCTTCACAGTTAAAAATAAAAATAAAAATAAATAAAACTCTTCATAATTTGTGCCAAATGTACCATGACATCTTCATTTCCAAGTGTTCCCTTTGGAGGAATTGACGCCCCCCCGCTTCCCCCCAAACAGGTCATCCACTTTCATCTGTAGCTTTGCCCTGCCATTGCCTTTGCCCAGAAGGCCAAAGAACATGGCTTTAGAGCTAGAAATGTTTTTGTTTAAATACCGACTGACTTCTCCACTAACAAGAGGTGTTAATTTGTGCAATTTATTGAATTCCTCTGAATCTCTTTCCTCACATACTGAAAGGTCAGATTGGATTATTGTAATTATAAGAGCCTATTTAAACATCTTTATGTTGTTGTTGGCACAGATAGGTGCTCAATAAAAATTAGCTAGCTTTTATTACCACTCATCTCTTTTCCACTTGCCATTATCCTGTTTCAAGGCTAGACACTTAAAGCTTTACACCTCTTTTAAATCTTTTAAAATGTACCTCGTCACAATTCATATTGTCCTCCTCTGTGTTTCCTTGGCAGTTTATACCACTTCAGGATATAATGCAAGCTGTGTGTTTCCTTTACCATATTACAGATTACCTGATAGTAGACACATTATTTTATAGCCCTATGTACCTTGCAATAGGAATGTAATTGTTTGAACTGAGTTCTGGAAATATCTACTTTAACATTCTCTCTCTCCCTCTTTTTAAATAGTTTAACCTCTTGAGGAGCTGCCAAAATTGTTTTCTAAAGTAGCTGCCCTCTTTTACATTCCCACTGGCAGGGTATGAGGGCTCCAATCCCTCCACAGCATCACCAAGATTTGTTATTAATCTGTATTTGATTATAGTCACCCAAGTGGAGTAACATTTTATTAGTGAAATATTCTTAATTCATTCCATAAATACTGTATTCAGGGCTGACTGTGAACCGGACACCCATGTTAGCTATTAGGACCAGTGGTGGAAAAAAGAGACAAATGTATCTGCTCCTGGACACACAATAAATAATAAACACAGAAAGTTCTTCTCTAAGCTCCTGGATAAAATGGCGTACCTTTCTTCTGTACTGATTAGCAGGCAGGCTTCTCCTCACACCGTCATGTTTACTTTTTTATCTTAGACACATAGTCCAGTTTAATGGAACGATGATATGGCCATGTTCATTCTGTTAGGAGGTGCTAAGCACTCTAGGAAAAAGAGCATAAAAGAGAAAGAGTGATTGAGGCTGCTGGCAAAAGGGAAGGGGCAGGTTGTAGGACTAAATAGGGTGGTCAAGTTAAGCCACAGGGAGGTGAGATTTGAGCAAAAGCTTGAAGGTGAACAAGTCAGTCAGCGAGACACCAGAGAGAAGAGCGCTGTGGGCAGAAGAAGCGACCAGTCCCAAGGCCCTGAAGCAGGAGTCTGCATGCGAGGAGCAAGGAGGCCAGTAGGGGAGTTGGCAAGGGAGAGGAGAGTAAGAGACAAGGTCAGAGAGGCTATAGGGCCAACTCACTTTGACTTTAGCAAACAGATACTACATGGGACCCACTTAGACTCAACAATTGGTCGTTATTCATCTGAACTTCAAACTTAACTTGGCATCACCTGAGCACCTGTATTTTATCTGGCAACCCTACTCAGAGGCCATCGTAAGGCCTTTGACCCTTACTCTGAGTTGGTGGAGAACCACTGCAGGGTTCGGAACAGAGGGGAGACACCATCCTGCTTCGGGTTTTGAAGTTTCTCAGTGGCCGCTGTGTTGAGTATAGGCTTCAGAGAGTTAAAGTGGAAACAGGGAGGCCTGGAAGGCCATCGCAGTAGCCCAGGTGAGAGACGATGAGGGCTCAGATGAGAGCTGCAGCTGTGGAGTTGAGGAGAAGGGACCAGATTCCTGGTATCTGCTGAAGGCAGAGCCAAAAGGATTTCAACATGAATTGGATATGGGTGAGAGAAAGAGAGCATCCAAGGATGACTTCTCGGGGTTTGGCTTGAACAACTGGAAGACTAGAGTTGCCGTGGAATGAAGAGGAGGACTGTGGGTGGAGCAGTTTTGGGGAAGAGTATGGATTTTATTTGGGCCACACTGAGCTGATGATGGGTCAAATGAGATGAGGCGTCACCATCAGCCAGCAAATTTTATGGTATTTTCCATTAAAATAGCCAATAATGTAATTTAAAAGGTGGCCCTTCCAGTAGGGACAGATTTTTTTCTTTTTACTTATTGTACTTTGTATCTAGTTATTTAAAGCGTCTTCTTTGTTCCTGAATGGCTTTTTAAAAAATATGCTTAGGAGGGGCGCCTGCGTGGCTCAGTGGGTTAGGCCTCTGTCTTCAGCTCAGGTCATGATCCCAGGGTCCTGGGATCGAGCCCCGCATGGGGCTCTCTGCAGGGAGCCTGCTCCCCACTGCCCGCCTGCTTCTCTGCCTACTTGTGATCTCTGTCAAATAAATAAAATCTTTTTTAAAAATATGTTTAGGAAAGAATAGCCGGGGTTGGAATTCAATTTCCTAGTTTCTTCTCCAGTATCTGAACTGCAAAACCAGACTGTATCCCAACACCCCATTTTACTTGGCAATCAAATTCACTTTTCCATAGATGTTTTTCTCCATCTCCATTCATTTTCTTTCATCCACTCTTCAACCCTTGAGAGAAAGGAATCTTACTATGCAGAACCTCTCCTCTGTGTCCTTCCAGCAGCTGAAAATCTGCCATGGATATTGAACAGACCATCCCCTCCTTAAAATGCCAGGAACACAGTGGTCTAAAAGGCTGGAGCCCTTACTCCCCAGGAGCAAAGATCACTGTGGACATTGGCTTGCCCTTCACTGATTACAAGTGGTTTTCAAGATGACTCTCTCTGCTGCCTCTCCTCTTTTTACCCAAGTTCCTGGATAAAATAACATTTTTTTTCCTGTCCTGATTAGCAAGTGTGCCTTTTATTGCATGATCATTTTTACTTCTTTTTCTTAGACTTGTGGTCCAGTTTAATTGGACAGTGTTGACATAGCCATATTTAAAATTATCTGCAAATTTTACAACTGTAACAGGACCGTGCATCTCCAAGGATCCATTGGATGGGGGGTGGAGGGGTGGGAGAACATTACTTTGGAAGCAATCTACAAGCTCTGGCCTTTTTTCTGGAGGTCTTGTGTCCTATGCTGTTTTGGATCATGACATTCTAAATCAGTACACTCACGGAAAGCCTTTATTCACAGAATTGTGATGTCTTGTTTTTACACTAAGAAGTAGGTGCTGATGAACTGACAGATTACATACGTTGTGCTTTCTGTGTTTTGCAGGACTTGAGAGAGACAAGTTTGATAATAAAACGGTTTCATTTGAGGAGCACATCAAGTCAGAACACAATATGTGGCATTATTTGTACTTCCTCGTCCTGGTGAAGGTTAAAGACCCAACTGAATACACTGGACCTGAAAGTTACGTGGCTCAGATGATCGTGGTAAGTGATGAGAGTGTTTGAACCTATGACTACGTTGCCTGTGTGTGTTCTCCCCTTCTGTACCCTCCCCTTCTCCTAAAACATAGACGTTCTCCTAGTCATTTTGTTAACTTCTAAACAGGACTGTCAGTCACTGAAGAACCTTCATGCTGCCTAAATCACTGGACTTCTTGGTTATTGAAACCAAATTGAAGTCTCAAGTGCACAGAGGATGTTTGCTGAAGAATTCCCTGGCACCACCTCAGTCCCAACTCTCATCTTCTGACCTCGTGTCATTGCTTGTGTCTCAGTTCTCCAAATCTAGAAGTTTCCCATTGTCAAATGGGAACAGAAGAGTCATACTCTAAGAAATTCCTTGTATTTCAGAAATCAGGAGTTTAAGAAATTGAACCATGTTTGGGAAGAGCGTAGTGTTTGGTCTCAGTGGGAGAACACTGGCGTTCTGTCTACATATAGTTTGGGCTGTTGCTGACGATTGGCACTGATTCTGCCATACCTACTTGCTTCTAACTCCTTAGTAAGAACAGTTGCAGAGGCTGTGGTTGTCTATGACTTGGCCTTTCTTCTGTTTTACAGAAGATTAAAATTAAGTGGCTTAAAGAGAAGTCAGAGTTACGTTAGTGTGTCATGATGCACTTTTAGTGAGTATCGATGCGTCTGAAATCAATGCCTATATTCTTATAATAAACACGCTGTATGTTGGACTTTCTTTCTCAAAACCCTTCTTACAAAACTATTTGAGAGTGAAGCTTTAGAAGAGGCAAGATCCTCCTTGCAGCCTGGTCCCGGGGTAACATGTAGTCAGCACCAATGCTGAAGCTTTGGGAGAGCTAGATGATGGTAGCTGTGGGTCCTTCCTTCTGGAAGCTGGTCATGCCTGTAGGAAGACATAAACTACAGAGGGAGCAACCAAAGACTATCTTTGGCAGGTAACATATTAGTACGAGCAAGTTAACATTGCAGTAATGTATCTCATTTGACAATATTTATGTGTCACAGGAGAGCTACATGTAAATTGAATTTTTATTGCTAAGGATTTTTCATGTTTTTTTTTTCTTTTTGACTTACGTCCACTGTAAGTTTTTTTTTTTTAAGATTTTATTTATTTATTTATTTATTTGACAGAGAGAGAGAGAGAGAGAGAGAGATCACAAGTAGGCAGAGAGGCAGGCAGAGAAAGAGGGGAAGCAGGCTCTCTGCTGAGCAGAGAGCCTGATGCGGACCTCAATCCCCTGACCCCAAGAACATGACCTAAGCCAAAGGCAGAGTATTAATGCACTGAGCCTCCCAGGTGCCCCTATAAGTTTTCTGTGTGCACGGAAGTTTGCATCCTACCATGAAGTTGTCATTCTTTATGGGACAGTGGGCAGAACTTAATATTGTTTCTTCCCCCCCCCCCATGTTTCCTTTTCTGCCCTCTCTCCCATCTACATTAAGAAAAAAGGTAATCAGTTTGAAGATAGGCATTCATTGCCATTATTTAGACATTCTTGATCTCAAGATGCCCAAGGACCATCTTTGTGAAATAGTTTGCATCTGCTTGCTGGGGAAAAACACGTAGAATGTTATGTTTAAAATGTTTAACCTCATATTGCTGTATTTTATCAAAGTTTGAGTCAATTGAATGAATACATATTTACTGGGCATCTGTTGCATGCCTTGGACTTAAAGATTTTGGGGAAAACACTGAGGAGTCCGGCACATTCCCTCTCTGCCAAGGAATTTGGAGTTTAATAAGAGGGAGAGGAGAAAAACAAGCCAAAAGTAGAATAGGCGAAATTCTGCAAGAGTGGAACAAATGAAAATCTGTGAAGGCTTAAGGATCCAGAGTGACATCCAGCTGAGAGATGGTGGAAGGGAAATGCTGTGTGTGGGGTGGTGGGTGGGTGTTAGGGGCAGTATATCATACAGGGTAGGATTTGTGTAGATTGGGTCTGTCTGTTGGATTAAGACTGATTTCCAGTACGAGGGAGCAGCCCGAACAAAGGCATAGAGACAGAACGCTCAGACACCCAGGGGGCATTGGTGCAGTTTCACTGATATATAGTCCACTTGTAAAGAAGCTCTGGGACATAGGATAGAGAAAATAGGTTGGACTTTTGGTGGTAAGTGTCAGTTTGGGTTATCATTTCATCAGGAATGGGAAGCCACTGAAGGATTTCACTGTGGGAATGATGTGGCCTAGGACAGTAGTCAGGCCATGGTGTGTAGGCTGGTTGGGAGAAGGGAAAGATGAAATCAGAGGTGGTATTTGGCAGTTGATAAGATGAGGGGTAGGGAGGATCAGGAGAGGCAGTAGACTACGAGATGAGGCCAAGACACCTGACGTTGTGAGCCTGGTCATTAGGAGAAAGGTGTTGTATCAGTTATAGAAGGTCTTCTGCAAGAGGAAAGGCTGGTCAGAGAAGAACACTTGTTGATTTTGAAATGAGTCTAGAAGCTGAGTCATAAATGAGGAGGGTCAGGGTAGTGACAACACCACAAGCCTTTGAGCCAGGAAGATCTGGGCTCAGACCTTAGCTCTGTCACTTACTTGCTGTGTGGTCTGGGATATCTTGGGTCAGTCTTTGAACCTATTAGGGCCTCTGCCTCCTCATCCAAAGGGAAGATTGGTGTGAGATAAGTGAGATGATCCTTTAAACGTGGATAGCACAGTGGAGGTACTCGGGAACTGACAGTTTTCACTGTGACTGTCTACATGAAGTGACAGTTGAACCCATCAGATTAGGAAGATAGGGGAGAAGAGAGCATGTGTAAAGAGAAAGGAAGAGAAAGCCCAAGACAGAACCTGGGGGATCCCCCATTCAGGAAAAAGAAGAAAGACAAGTAAAAGAAGTAGAAAGGGACATGTTTGGGGGAGGAGTCAAGATGGCGGAGAAGTAGCAGGCTGAGACTACTTCAGGTAGCGGGAGATCAGCTAGATAGCTTATCTAAAGATTGCAAACACCTACAAATCCAACG